AACTGGGGACTGGGACCCCTCAGGGGGTCGTGAGATTATTACATGGGGGGGGGGAGGGGGTCGTGAGCTGCCAGCCTCCACCCCAAACCCCACTTCGCCTCCAGGATTTATAATGGTATTAAATATATTAAAAAGTGCTTTTAATTTATAAGGGGGGGAGGTGTCCCACTCAGAGGCTTATGTGAAAGGGGTCACCAGTACAAAAGTTTGAGAACCACTGCCTTAAAGAGACTGAAAACTGAACAGATATGACTGTCTGAAAACAAGTGCACAAGGATCATGACAAAAGATAAAGAACTAAACTTTAACCATCAATGAAATGAGGTATTCATAGCAAAAATGAATAAAATATTCCTGAGGGTGGAACCACATAGTAAGATTATGATTCAAAGGTAGAGGGAAGACAAAAGGTCAAATGTAGCTCTTCTCTTTGATGAAGAACTGGAGCAAAAAGACAAGGCCCATTGTTAGTGCTGACAGTGGAAAGGAGGAAGAAAGATAGGGTGGAAAATAATGTATACCATCCACCTATTGTCAGGAGACTGCTAGAGGGCTGGTTACTGAAGAGCTACTATTTCAACCAAACTTTGAATAAAGTCCTCTTCTGGTCAACAACCTGAGTGGGAAATTTTTTTAAAGCTATTGGGAGAGTGTCAGAAGCAGCACTATGACATTTACAAGCATATAATCTGCTTCACTGCTACAGCCTACAGGCTCTGAGGCAGTGAAACTGATGAAATGCTTGTAAATGCCACCCTGATACTGCTTCAGAATATAGGAGAAGCAGCAGAGATTCAATCCTGTTGCGGGGTGGGCAAGGCTGGGGAAGAGGAATCATTTCTCTTTCTCCCCTTTCTCCTAGTACATTAACAACCCAGAGTTAAACTTTTGAAGCCCTCATCTTTTACATCAGGACACCAGTAATCTAAAGTTTTAAATCAGTTCTCCGATTAAGTACTTATAAGAAAGTAACAGGTGAGGAAGAAGCTTGTACTCAAAAAGAAAAGAAAAAGTTAAAACTGGGCACTATAAAATATAAGTGGGAGGTTTGCTAATAAATGTTTTTTCTTCCAGTCATATCAGTTTCTGAGATTCATCTAAGAGCTAGAATGGCAAGATAAAAGTGTATTTTAAAAAAATTTACAATTTAAAATAAATAGCAACACCCTCCTCCAACTAGCGTTTCCTCATTTTTCTCACTGTAATTGGCTTAGGAGAGCAGGAAAGTGGTACATGGCTACTCCGCTCGGAAAATATGCATGTGCATCTTAGAAAGTTTTCAGGTAAGCAGAGATTTATTTATTTTCAGCTGTATTTCTAAGTAATAGGTCCAATGGATCTGTTCTGTGCCTTCAACATACTTGTGATTTTGAATGGTGCCTCCAATGCTACAAATATGCTGAGGTTCCACTGTAACAGATCCGTGGAATTTATTAAAAGATAAATTGGGTAAATAATGCATAGATACTATACACAAGGGAGAGATGGCTATATAGAAATGCATATATAGATGGAAAAATAATGTAAGAACACCCTCTTTCCAAACAGGACAAACTGCCATGACACAAAATTGTACCTGTCTTTCAGCTGAATCTTGCAATTTGGAGTCTTACAGTTCTGAACTGAGGCAGCTTTTAAGTGACCATTCAGAAACTGTTGAAAAGCATGCAAATTCAAGTCTAGGAAAGAGGCGTTAAGGTTTGCTTCCACAATGCCGCATGCAATCCAGGTGGTTTGATATTCACTGTAATTATCCCATCTCTTATGAAATCAAGTTCAAAATATAAAAAAGTCAAACTTGAATGTATAACCATTCTCGTCCCCTAAAGCCCCTACTCTACTTGCGCTATATTGATGACATCTTCATCATCTGGACCCATGGAAAAGAAGCCCTTGAGGAATTCCACCATGATTTCAACAATTTCCATCCCACCACCAACCTCAGCCTGGTCCAGTCCACACAAGAGATCCACTTCCTGGACACTACAGTGCTAATAAACAATGGCCACATAAACACCACCCTATACCGGAAACCTACTGACCGCTATTCCTACCTGCATGCCTCCAGCTTTCACCCTGACCACACCACACGATCCATCGTCTACAGCCAAGCTCTGCGATACAACCGCATTTGCTCCAACCCCTCAGACAGAGACAAACACCTACAAGATCTCTGTCAAGCTTTCTTACAACTACAATACCCACCTGCAGAAGTAAAGAAACAGATTGATAGAGCCAGAAGAGTTCCCAGAAGTTACCTACTACAGGACAGGCCTAACAAAGAAAATAACAGAACGCCACTAGCGGTCACCTTCAGCCCCCAACTAAAACCCCTCCAACGCATTATTAAGGATCTACAACCTATCCTAAAGGATGACCCAACACTCTCACAAGTCTTGGGAGACAGGCCAGTCCTTGCCTACAGACAGCCCCGCAACCTGAAGCAAATACTCACCAACAACCACATACCACACAACAGAACCACTAACCCAGGAACTTATCCTTGCAACAAAGCCCGTTGCCAATTGTGCCCACATATCTATTCAGGGGACACCATCACAGGGCCTAATAACATCAGCCACACTATCAGAGGCTCGTTCACTTGCACATCCACCAATGTGATATATGCAATCATGTGCCAGCAATGCCCCTCTGCCATGTACATTGGTCAAACTGGACAGTCTCTACGTAAAAGAATAAATGGACACAAATCAGATGTCAAGAATTATAACATTCATAAACCAGTCGGAGAACACTTCAATCTCTCTGGTCACGCAATCACAGACATGAAGGTCGCTATCTTAAAACAAAAAAACTTCAAATCCAGACTCCAGCGAGAAACTGCTGAATTGGAATTCATTTGCAAATTGGATACTATTAATTTAGGCTTAAATAGAGACTGGGAGTGGCTAAGTCATTATGCAAGGTAGCCGGTTTCCTCTTGTTTTTTCCTACCCCCCCCCCCCCCCCAGATGTTCTGGTTTAACTTGGATTTAAGGAGAGTGGTCAGTTTAGATGAGCTATTACCAGCAGGAGAGTGAGTTTGTGTGTGTATGGGGGTGGGGGGGATGTGAGAAAACCTGGATCTATGCAGGAAATAGCCCGACTTGATTATGTAAAGAGTTGTCACTTTGGATGGGCTATCACCAGCAGGAGAGTGAATTTGTGTGGGGGGGTGGAGGGTGAGAAAACCTGGATTTGTGCTGGAAATGGCCCACCTGTTGATCACTTTAGATAAGCTATTACCAGCAGGACAGTGGGGTGGGAGGAGGTATTGTTTCATATTCTCTGTGTGTATATAAAGTCTGCTGCAGTTTCCACGGTATACATCTGATGAAGTGAGCTGTAGCTCACGAAAGCTCATGCTCAAATAAATTGGTTAGTCTCTAAGGTGCCACAAGTACTCCTTTTCTTTTTGCGAATACAGACTAACACGGCTGTTCCTCTGAAACCTGTCATTCTCTTTTGCTTTTCCTTTTTATATAATGGTTTAAGTCTGACATTTCACATTCCATCATTAATGTCTCAAAATAATCTCTATTACAGAAATAAAATTTACATTTCTGTGTAAAACTGACTATGAGCTTTATTTCTATTCTACAAAAACAGTGTTTCTGCACATTGTCTATCAAGACCCAATAAGTGTAGACCACTGAGGAAAATACCGGGAGCAAAGCAGCATGTCCTTCCATTTTCATTCCAATTCCACTGTAGAGAATTTTTTAAATATTTGTTTTCTTGCAGATTTTATCATATTATTAATTACATGGTATCCAAACATCTAAATAATTTTTCTGTTTTGTTGTGCACGTAACTCATGTTATAGAAACACTTCCAAAATTTTTAAGCCAGTCAATTAATATTAGACAATTTTTTCCAGTAACTAGCTACTATCTTGCAGCACTAAAATATGAAAAAAATAACTCTTACTTCCTACCACCACTAGGAAGTCCTATAAGAATTTCTAGGGAATTATTTGATAGTGTTACCCCACTATTTTGTTTAATTTGAGCTTTACATTTCTTTCCAATATTCCTTAAGAAAACCCCATTTTTATTTTTCTATAGGTCAAATGTAGCCCTCCTGGCCAAGGAGGACTGACAGATCACGTTCGGAGCCTAAAGTGCAGCTCTTTAATGGGCAGTGCAGGGAGAGAAAGCTAGAGAATAACTGTTCCTCCAGCCTGCCCTCCACAAGCAGAGTATGATTCCTCTACAGCAATGGAAGCTTCTGACAGCATGAAAGTGAGATGCCAATAAATTAATTTGTGCACTGTAAGATATGTGAACTGTGCTATGTTCTGGTACAGATGAAGCAAAGGGAAAATTGATCAAAGCAGGAAAAAAGGCACAGGAAAGAGGTGCCAAAATTGTCTGGCCAGTGATTGACTCCACTGTATTCTGTCCAATGAGACAGGAAGATATGCCACAAGATCCAAATCAGCATATGAGAGCACAAAGAATAATTTGGTGTGTAGACCTTCAAGCCCACCACATCTTATTTTTCCAAAATCTTTCTTCTACACATAACATCACGAAGAGGAAAGAATGCACAAGAGAACGCATTCCACATCCTAGAAGTTATAGCTGACTTACTCCACTGTCACATGGAGGCTTATTAGCTCCAAAGAAGGCCATTCACTTGTTCTTCAAAGGAAGAAAAGAAAAATAAAATACTAGCTACAGGTGTCAGGTACACAATGAGGAAAGAAGCAACTCTAAAAGGGTTAAGCCCAGAGGTTTGGGTTCACTCCTGGTTTGGGGGCACATGAGTTTGGCAGATTAGAGTAACACAAACTATACTAACGTACATCTAGCAAAATGAAAGAGGCTTTTCCTTCAGAGAAGAGGAGAAAAATAATGAAAAACAATTCCTCTCTACTGCAAAACAATTTACATTTTAATTTTACAGTTCAAATAGGTAACAACATAATTTAATAGCCTGAGAGCATAGACATGCATCACTCAATCTCACTGTTCTAGTTACACTGAACAACTTACCTCCTGATCAGCTTGGCTCTGGAAATCCCCTTTGTTTATGCTTGCATCCCGGGTCCAACGAGGAGGTTTCCAGGTTCTTTCTTGTGTTCCTCTGTTGTAGTAGTAACAACGTCCTGTAGTATCTTTATGGGTTTCCCATTCTCCATTAATCTGAATTGGGGAATTTGTAGGTAAAGGTGGAAGTGCAGACTGAGATATTTTCAGTTCTTGTAAATTAGCATAAACTGGTGAATCCGGCCTGCCTTGGCTTGGTGGAGTAGTTGGCTATTGTGAGAGAAGAAATTCAGTAAAAAAGTATAATTCTAAAAGCATATCACCACCCCATAGTATGTTAACATCACCATAGAAAAGGGTGGATAAAAATATTTACATTGGATTTATTTAAAGTATATTTCTTTTTAAAAATAAACCTGTTTAAAATTAAATCTTACTGTAACACAAAATATGTTATGTCTAAATTTATCACAGTCTCTTCAAACATTTTAAAAATAAATATGCTTAATCCATGAACCTCTATCAAAAACGGAGTTTAAGGCAACTTTTCCATATAAAGAAAGAATCAGGGGAAACAAATCTAACACTTGAGGTCAAGCTTTATAAATATGGCACAATAAGTCATACTGTATTAAAAAAGTTTAATCTTTTGGAGGATCCAGGAGCTGTGCTACAGGGTGCAAGAGACTAGCAAAGTCATCACAGGCATTGGAACCCAGCCTCTGACTTTCGGAGATATCACCATGTATCTCATCAGGATCATTCACTGACCACCTGGGTGGTCTCATACTCGTAACTCCTATTTTATAACTTCTTCCTACCTAAGTTCTGATTGTCTCGATTCTCAAAACGACAAATGCTCATGACTCTATCCACTATGGAAACTTACTCCTCAGCTCATCGGATACATCCGATGAAGTGAGCTGTAGCTCACGAAAGCTTATGCTCAAATAAATTGGTTAGTCTCTAAGGTGCCACAAGTACTCCTTTTATTTTTGCGAATGCAGACTAACACGGCTGTTACTCTGAAAACTAACAGAAATCCATTAATTTCTCAACTGCCTCCCTCTGTCTCTAAACAAATAAAATACTGCAGTGCAAAAGGCATGTGGGTTACACAAGCAGAAGTCCTGGCTTCTTGTTAGTCCTTTTGTTTTCTTGGGAGTAACGGTGGGGGAGGTATGTAACAAGGGAGAAGGAGCACAACCAGAAAAAGAGAAACACTGGTGTCTAAGCAGGACACTGAAGAAGGGACAACATTCATTTGAGTGCAGCCTCTAGTGTCGATTTCAACACATGGGAACAGAAGGAAAAAACTGTCATGGCTGCAGGTTATTAAAAAAGAGACCCTATTTGGGAATATTTTTACTTATTTTCAAGAATTTTGTGAACTTCTGGATAAGAAAGGAACACATGCTAAATGGAAACAGTGCAACACAAAGATGAAAGGACTGGTTATCAGAATGAAAGATTATGAAGAATGCTCTCAAAAGTGAAATGACTGTTTCAGACATCCATATCATCATCTTCAATCTGGGATTAGCTGATAAGAATGGTGCAAAAATACATTTATTAGACTGCCTACCATTTCTTACTATTCTAGGAAACGAACACAGATTACTGTCATAAATTGGTGTTTTGGGTAGATTTAAGAATTTCAAAATGTTTGCATTCAAAATATAGCTGGTATGTTATTTTGAAGTGGGAGTATTTATCAATTATATTTTTACTGTTACGGACAGACTTCTAAAGTTATTTTTATTGCTGAATATAAGCAAATATCCAAGGTGAAGATTTCTACTTGAAAAGTAAAGTTTTATGAGGCATTTATGAATTTTAACATTTTAAAAATGTTTTTTCTCAAGCGGTTTGGTATGTTGCTAGAAATAAAAAGAGTTTAAATAGATTTAGATAATCCTTATGATGTATTAATTTTGGAAAATTCATTAATCTGAGTCTTGATGGGTGGAACAATGTACACAATTATCCAGTAATATATGCTTGTGTGACAAGAGCAGATGGAGTTGTCTATCTTACAGAAACAATTGATACATCAGGAAATCCCATACAGCAGAATAATTAAAAGTAGCAACAGTAAAAGCTATAGCAAACTGTGAACAAAAGTGTCAAGTGTGTAGCTTTGTCAAAGACAATGCCACAAATGTAAAGATGAAAAGAAATCTAGAAGATATTGAAGTAACCTGAACCTTATAATAGATGGGTGCAGTGCTCATTTGATTCCTCTTTTAGCCAAAGACTTAAGTACAACTCCAGGAATAAAGGAAAAAGTTGAAATTGCAAAATACTTTCATAAGAATCGCTTTGCTTCAGTTTCACTGAAGAGAGCAGGACAATCCAAACTAATTCTCCCCCAAGATGTATGACAGAATTCAGTGGTGACTGTTTTGACCTATTTATCAAGAACTGGCCTATTCTGATTATTATTTCTGAAGAAAATAATGACAAAAAACACATGGACCTATCAAAGCCAAAATAGTCAACATCAGACTAAAGAGAAATGTAGAATATCTACTGAATATATTGAAACTTATTTCCATAGCCCTGGACAAACTCCAGAAAGATTGTTGCTCTATTTCTGATGCTGTTGAAATTTGGAAAGAACTTCGAGACACTGAAGGAAAAAACCCCCAACAAAGTTAAATTGCAGGCAGTAAGTAAAGAAGCAGATGGATCAAGTACTTATTCCACCTCATTTTCTTGCCAATATTCTCAACCCAAAGTACCAGGGTAGATGTCTAACTGCTGAACAAGATGCTGATGCTATGACATGGGCATCTAATAACCACCAATCAATCATGCCAGCCATAATAAATTTCAGGTCTGAAGGTGAACCATTCAAGCAGTATGAAGAATATTTTCTTCATTTGGAATAATTCATTCAAAATTGAGAAGGTGACTAGAAGCTGAAAATGCAAGAGAACTTGCCTCTCTCTTCCAGTATATGAATAAAACCAAGAAAGGAGGAGATGAGAGCTACTAATTTTAGTAGTTTGAAGGACAGCCTTTAGCAATTTAGGAAACTGTCTCATTTTTAAGAGACTTAGGCAAGTAGAAACTTAAGATCCAGTCACTTTCATTTAGGCATTTTTGAAAATTGTCTCAGGCTGACCGGAAATAATCAGTTAATCCCTCTGTTCCTTTAATAAATCATTTAGTTGTAAATACGAAACATGTTTTGGTAAGAGAAGTTTATGTATCCAAAACATTTAAGATCGTTTTGTTTAATAAAAATTAGTTATATGCTATTGTGTGTTTAATTAAATTCCAGTTACCATTCTAATTCAGCTCGACACGAGCATGAAGTTAATTTTCTAGTAAACAAGCAATATATCGTTCACCATTTTCTAACATCCTAAAACTGTACAATTAAGAATCTGAAGATATTAAGCTATATAATTGCTTAAATAAATGTACCAAATCTAGTGAAAGACTAATTAGTTGTAAATCAACGTTTTAATAGTTATATCACCTAGTAAGAACGCACCTTTCTTTAGAAAATAACTGAAGTACAAATGGAAAAGTTAATTTAAACCATGATTTAAAATCCTTGATTTAAAAATCAATCCACATTGCCATATAAATACAATGGCAAAAACTATGTTAATGAAAAGTTAAGGCTGCATGGTGGTATGTCATCCCCTTGCAGGATGCTGAGTTGAGCAAAACCTCAAACTTATGAAAACTAGGAAATACACAGTTAAGGTTGCCCATGCAATCTTAACTCTGCTCTCTTGCAGTGCCCCAATATGTGCTGTTAACACATACAACTTTACTCTGCCAATCCCCCAGTTGCTGAAATGTACAAGGTCTTCACCTCTTTTCACAACCCATTCACTCTTACACAAGATTCCGTCTAACGTTATTAAAGGCAAAAGAGGAGGTGCTGAGAGGGGGAAGGTTGCCCACACCACCTTCCCTCTATTCCCCTGGATCAGGCACCAGCTGATGGAATTTTTCACATACACTCCAGTATGCAGTCTTTCTACGCAGAACTGCGTGGATTACATGGGTAGCAAGTCTTGTCCACAGTAAGGTGGAATAAGATGGATTCTAACATTTTAATGATGGCTAAGTTAAAGTGTAGGTTGAGATGGTATCCTTGAGTAAGTGTAAGGGAGTTGTAAGAGGCTATGAAGTGGTTCTTAAACTCTAAACGTGTGGTATTCTTTCTATGTCAGTATATGGAACCTCCTGGATTTTATAGTGCCAAGGATCAGTGCATGTCCTAGGTGCCTATTGAGGCATTGCTCTAAGGTGGTAGAGGGGAGGTAGCATGGGCATTGTTGTTGTTTTTTTTTCTTTTTTGTCCTTCAATAGTGTTAGATGGAATTCTGTGGTGAGAGTGAATGGGGCTTATAAAAGGAGGTGAAAAGCTGCTACATTTCTGCAACTGTGTGATTGGCAGAATAAAGGTGTGTGTGTGTTAATAGGACCTATTGAGGCATTGCTCAAAGACTGTAAATTTATGGGTGCATGGCCAACCTTACCTGTGCATTTCCTGGTATTCAGAAGTTTGTATTTTGCTCAAATCAATGTTCTGCAATGACTATTCTGTTGCGTTCACAGTAAGCCTCCCCACATATTAAAAATCTCATTATATTAAGCGACTTTCAAGAAGCAACATTTTAAAATTTTTATTACACAGTGGTACAAAGGTTTGGACCAGAAACATCACTGGCAGCGTGTTCACAGGGGTAAAATGTCGTCAGCACATTCTCTTGAACTTCCCAGGCAAGTATAACATGTCTCCTTAGAAAGCTTCATTGTTTTTTTCCTTTATTGGTGAATGTGCACTATAGTCCTTCCAGACTACACATTTATTCAAATGAAGAAGTGAACATGTTTTTAATTTGGGTCTCCCAAGACTTAGTGGGTGTCATGCACTTCCTTAGATAATAATTAACCATCTGAGACCATTTTTACCTGCACCACAGAAATAGCTGGATCTCTAGCTCTGCCCTTAGAGGGGCAAAAAGGCCCCCACCCCCCAGATCAGGGCACACACACAAGGGGAGAATGTAGAGCTGACAGGTATATTGTCTCTGTTCTCTCCCAGTCTCTGCCACTCATCTCCATGTTCCTTCTGCCAGTGTTCCACCCCTCATCTCCCACCCACTCATAGAATCATAGAAGATTAGGGTTGGAAAAGACCTCAGAAAGTCATCTAGTCCAACCCCCTGCTCAAAGCAGGACCAACACCAACTAAATCATCCCAGCCAGGACTTTGTCAAGCCGGACCTTAAAAACCT